TTATTATTCCCTCCTTTTTCTATACTTACGCTAAAAAAAACCAAACCCAACCACTAGGAAATACTATTTTTAAATATAACCATTGTAAATTCTTACTTCCTTTATCTACAAGGTGTTTTTATACTTGGGGTGAGGTTATTCTACTTCCTCCCTTCTTGGAATGAAGGCACCCACCTTCCCACCAGTGCAGAGCACAGATTTGGGGTGGGCTGTGATATTCCAGGGTTTTGCAGTGTTGCTGCTGGGGAAGCAGGTTGTGTTTGATCTCTGTTTGATCTTGGCTCCTCCGAGACCCGACAGATTTGTAAGTCGTAGCCTTTGGCTGCTGCTTTGATTGCCGGGGCAAAGGGCTGCGACGAGGTTTTTGTTCTCAAAACGCAGAGAAAGGAGCAAGAATGAAAAAGTGTGTGTAAGGAGGCAGGGGAAAAACCAGGGCTGAGTGTACTTCCAGCCAGCAAGGAAGGATTTAAGTGCAAACTTGAAAACTAACAAACTTGAAAAGTGAAAGAAAGCAAGAGTAATATTTGTATAGGCCATGTTCTTGTTGTGGGGTGGGCTGGGGCCTTCTCCTTTCAGTCTTTGGACCCGAAATCACCAGAACACAGATCTGCAGGCAATGGGGGAGGTGTGTGGGGTTTGCCTTGGGCAGGGGGAAGGAGAGGAGTCTTCCTACTTGGCTTAACTGTCCCCCAGCTGGAAAACCTCATGAAGACAGATGGACTGCTGTGCAAACATCAGCTCTGTCTTGGAATGATGCTGGGGAGATCTGTCCCTTCAAAATATGGCACCTCAGGATTCCCTGTTCCTTTTCTTTGGCATTTGGACTTCTCAAGTCCCTCGGTGCCAGTGTGGACATGGAGTCACTAACAGTGGAATTATTCTGGAGGAATCTCTTTATTTGTTCCCTCTATTCCTGCTCAGGGTTTTTGTCAGTTAATGTCCACTTTCCTATCTGTTTCCTCCAAAGGGAATTGCTTGAATTCAGCAGCTTGAGACAGTTCACCATATAAAACAATCTGTTGTTTTATGGCTGAATTAATCCAGCAGCTGAATAATTCCAGCCTGTGTCTCCCCACCAGCATTCCTAAAACACAAGAGGTGACATGTGCTTTGGATTTGCTTGCCAGGCTAAGGCTATATATATATTAGTGAGGCTTTTCCAGAATCTGGGAACTAAGGGTAGTTTTGGGGGTTTTTTTCCTGAATTTAATGTATAATTTTCATGAAATCTTTAAGAACCTAAAAGACAGGAGCAAACTGATCTCAAATTAAGCACGTGGCAGAGTAAAGGAGCCCAAAATGCTGGGATTGTCTGAAGGAAGTGTTGTCTTCCACAGCCACTCGAGTGGAACCACAGCCCTGGGATTTATGGTTGGATATGATGACTTTAAAGGTCTTTTAGAACATAAATGATTTTACAATTCCACACACCCAAGAGTTACAAGCTTTAAAAATACTCACTGTTGCTGTGGTGGATTTTGGCAACCTTGGGGTGGAGGAGAAAAGGCAGAGGTAAAGTTTAGTGCCAGATGTTGGTTCTTTTGTGTCTTAGTTCCTACCAGAAAGTTGGATGTGGTGTTGTCCAGCCTGGACCTCTGAAGTTTTCTCCTAAAACCTGTGATGCTGCTCTAGATCCTGAAGGGTCAGGGCTCTTCTCACTACTTCAGTGACCACAGCAGGGCAATTCCATGACAAGATGAGGGGGTTTTGGGAGGGAGATCCTGCTGCCAGGGGAAAAAAAAAAAAGTCTGGAAATTTGACTGCTAAAAGCAGTTAAAAAGGCAAACTCACTATTGGTTGCTACAAAGCAGTTTTAAGGGGGTTGGTGCAATCAGTCTCCAGGCTCTTTTGGGACTTGCAGTAGTGTGGTTCTGTTGTACCTCAAACTGTCAAAAATCCTTCAGGATTTGCCTGTATCTGCATTCCACTCAATACTGTTTTATTAGGATACTAAACTTTCACTGCTTTGTGTAGTTCCTGAAATACTGTGGTGGTTTTTTTTTTTTTTTTTCACTTCTAAGTGGCCAATTGCTTTGAGACCAGCACTTAAGCTGCCTGTAAAGTGTCTTTTGAATTGGTGCTGAGCAGACTGTGAGAGCACACAAATTGAAACGTTTCTCATAATGTTCTTGGGATGGTTTTTTTCCTAAAAATGATTACAACAATTCCAGGAAGTTAAATGTAGCATTTCTCACTGAAGCTAACTGGGCTTAAATAGTGGAAAACAAAGAGGAGAGGAAGTAGATGAGGGGAAAAAAGTCGAGAGGGGAAAGGAGCACACACAGAAAAGGTTGTCCTACCCTGGAATTTCAGAGGACATGCTGACCCAGGTCAGTATTATTATAACATACCTAAGTTTTAAGCTCTGCAGGCTTAGGACATGACTTTACTAAGGAATTCTGGATGTCTTAATATTTCCCTCTGTGTTTATTTCCATCAGACCTTGAAAACTTTGAGTTTCGGGTCTCGCCAAAGCTTCCATTTGATGCAGGAGCTTGTCTGACAAATTTAGGGCACACATCCCTGCCTGGGAATTTTGTCCTTCATTGTATCCCAGCTGCAGCACATTTCTGTGGGAATGAAGGAACTCCTGTGCATGAAAGCTCTTCCTTTCTGACGTTTGAAATGGTGATATCTGGCAATACAAATATAAATTGATTATTGCCATGTTAAGCTGAAAAAAACCCACAAGGTGTAAGGGTCTCCTGTTTGTCACTTTATTTCCTTTTATATTCTAGGAACACCTGAGGGCTTGAGATCCCCTTGATAGTTGGTCAAACGTGCATAGAGAATAAAAACTTTCCATACACGCTCCAGAGTGTCCCAGCAGGTCACAACAACTGTGACTCCATCCAAATTGCATCTTGATGCTGTTTGTTCTTGCAGCATGCTGTGTGTGCCACCATAATGGTCATTGCAAAACACTATAAATAGCCTGGGAAATTCAGAATCTGCATATCACTGATTGCCAAATATGTTTGCATCACTTTTCAGCTGTTACAAGTCTTGGAACAAAATCAGAGAAGCTATGCCTTGGAAGTTTTAAGAAAAGAAAATACTGGGAAGGGACTGGAAAAGGTTGTCTTGCCTAATGACGGAATGGTTTGGGTGGGAAGGAACCTTAAATATTGTGCAGCTCCAACGTCCTGCCATGGGCAGGGACACCTTCCACTAGACCAGGTTGCTCCAAGCCCTGCCCAAGCTGGCCTTGAACACTCATCCTGTCTCCACAGCAGAGCTGCTCCAGCCCTCTGATCATCTTTGTGGCCTCCTCTGGACTCGCTCCAGCAGCTCCATGTCCTCCTTATGTTGGGGACCCAGAGCTGGAGGTGGCACTGCAGGAGGGGTCTGACCAGAGTGGAGTAGAGGGGCACAATCCCCTCCCTCTCCTGCTGCCCACGCTGTGGGATGAGCCCAGGACACATTTGACTTTCTGAGCTACCAGTGCACATGGCTGGGTCACACTGAGCTTGTTGTTCAACAAACACCTCCAGTCCTTCTCCTCAGGGCTGCTTCCAATCCATTCTCCCCCTAGCCTGTGTTTGTGCCTGGGATTGCCCTGATCCAGGTTCAGGTGCCCTTGGCCTTGTTGAACTTCCTGAGGTTTGCATGGTTCCACCTCTCCAGCCTGTCCCAGGTGCCTCTGGATGCCATCCCTTCCCTCACCGCACAGCTTGGTGTCACCATCAATCCCACTGTCCCCGTCTCCCACAAAGATGTTAAATCCTTTCCCTCCAGGTGTTATCACCTAAGCCCAACTCTTTAGCAAGTGTTGGAGCTGCTGAGAGCTTTCAGCAGGAGGTGTGTTGTAAAAGCCCTTCTGGTGTTGTAAATGCGGGAGGTTTGCAAGAGAACAATCCTTCCATTATGTGTTTTCAATAATTCTGTCTCAAATTACCCTTGCTAACCCTTGGTCGGCTTTTAGTATGCACATAGATGTTTTTAATACCTCCAGCATTCAGAAAGATTTTTAATGATTTGTTCAATAATTGATGTGGCTTTGGCATAATTTAGGCTTTTGTGAGAGATGGCAGACAGAGGAGTGGAATATATTTAGTTGTTTAGTTTAATCATCCCTGTCTGTGAATTCCTTAGGTGAAAAGCAGTATGAAGGAATGGAGCAAGTGAGAACCTCTTGGAGAAAATTATCCCCTCAGATGAAAGCTAGAGAAAGCCTTAATTAACCTATTAATTCACTGCTTAAGTGTCTGCAAAGTGTTTTCTGAGCAGTAACACTCATTACCTTTCAGAATTGTGTGCAGTTATATGGACCTTATATTTACATCTATATCCCTGTTAGCCAATAGATTTAGTTTCTCAGCTCTTTTCCCTTAATCTTGGTAAGATACAGCAGAAAATAGGAGTTGTCCTGTTCTAGTCTTCTTTTAAATATTGAAATACTATTTAGTCTTTGATGCTAAATCCATATCTATAACTAGTTTACTTTGACAGGTAGTAAGAAGTAATGTTCCTTTAATGCAGAAAAAAACCCTTGCAAGTGCTTGGGTTTTGTCACTATATAAAATTGTTAGGCTGTTTCTCATATAACCAGAAATTTACTTAATAGTAATGATATCCCAGAAATCCTGGCACCCCTTTAACTGGAAATCAGTTGGGTTGCTCACTTACCTTAAAAACAAACCAACCAAAACTCTCTAAACCCCAAGTCTGTCCTAGGTTACAAATTGATATAAAGGTTAGGAACTGAATATAATTTCAGAGGGAGAAGGTGTTTGGAGTCTGAACTATAAAAATGGTAAGTATTGGGTGCTTCTGAACTAGAAACAAACAAGTGCAGCTTGGGCTTTTCCATTAAAAACAAACCAGAAAGAACCCATTGTGTGTGTTTACCCAGCCTTGTAATAACATGTCACGATACACTGCTCTTCCTGATCGCAGCAAAGGTGTTTATGCAGCAAAATGAATTTGATTACAGTATTTTTGTGTGTAATAGACATCTCTTTTTTTGTTGTTGTTGTTGTTGTTGTTTTATTCACCAGGCAATCAGCTCTAAAGGTCAACACAGTATCTCTTTCACATTGTCCAGGAATCAGACAGTTATAGTGGAATATACTCATGACAAGGACACAGACATGTTCCAGGTAAGACTCTGCAATGCATGGATTGTTGTTTTAAAAGCACAATTCTGGGTATTCTCTGTGATCTGTGGGGTTTCCATGGTCTAACCCACCTGCTTTAATATGGGAGCACTTTGAAATTTTGCTTTATTCTGCTCTTCTCAAACCCACTCCAGCATCTGTTAATGTCCTTACTGACTTACTGCTCCCACTGTACTCTGCTTTTCCTCCAAAGACAAATAGTACTGCCTAGAAATGTGTGCTTGTTTGGATTCATGAATAAGCACAAAAATACACCCACCCACCCTCCCGTGAATCAAGTAGCTGGAGTGAAAAGGAGGTGGATAGGAGAAGGACATGGGATGGGAAGTAGGAAGGTAAAAGAATGTGCCCTAAAGGAGACAAAGCAGTGATAGAAGGATAAACTGTTCGTGAGGGGTGTGCAAATGTCTCAGGTGGTGTAGGGGGCTGTGCTGTTTCTCTGACCTACCATCCCTTATCCAACATGTGTTCACTCTCCCCTGTTTGCATTTGGGGTTTTCTGCAACATTTAACATCTGGTAACCTGAGTTATTTCCTTGGGCAATGATTATTTTTATATATAATAAGGGAGCAGAAATCCTGTACAAACTTAGACTTCAAACTTGGGGAAACCCAAACACACACACAACCTTTTCCTTTCTGGACTGATCAGATCTGTCTTGTCTGTGACTCCTAATTAGGGCACTCCCCAGGAATTATTATCCCTTCTCCTCCAGCCTTTCATATTTAGGAGGGTCAGCCCTTGAGTGCTGTTGACAGAAGAAGAAATAGCTCTGTTGGGGTGTCTTTGCCTCTCATGGCTTCTGTGTTTTGCTCTATATTAAATTTTCCCAATGTGACTGGAGCTGTTAGGTCTAAATAGGAATTGATTAAAACCTGGTCTTGTTCATTTGGTGCAGGATGAAGGATCACACACACTCAGGGTGAACTGAAATAGCTTTTTTTTTCTATGTTTTCTGGTAAAAGAAAAATGTCCCACATCCTTTTGGGTTACTGTGTGATACTTGTTTATTTGTTGAGTGGCTCCAATGAAATTTTTTCCTGTGTGTAAATATTAAAAAGCCATTTTTGAAAGCTGGAGTTTTTTCACTAAAGTAATTAATAAAGAGTTGCAGAACAGCTGCTTTTCTGGGTGTGTTGTATATAGACAGCTCTTCTCTTGATTGCAGACTGTCCTGGTGGTGGTTACAGCTTCTATTGAGGGGGTTAAATCACAGATATTGATAAGAGTTAAGGCTTCTGTATTGTTATAAGTCCTCTTTTCAGTGCAGTCTGTTTCTTCTGTCTTGAGATGTGTAGATGGTCATGTTGTAACTTCCAAATGCTGTGTCCTGGTTCATATTTCCACTCCCTGTGGCTGTTCCCTGAGGATTGCACTCCATGCATTGGCCTGGAGGGGCTGGTGAGATGGGAAACAGGAATTCTCTGGTCGACTGTGGCAATGACTGGCTGCTGAAGTGATGCCAGACAGCAGCTTGGAGAGGTTTCCATTATAAAAACAAGCCATTGGATTTTAATTATTCCCTGTAATCTGATTGTGGGCATTTGGAGAGAAGTTACTTGAGGAGTGTTTTGTGCAGCCCTTTGGGATGTGACAACAAGTTACGTGTCTGTTGATCCACAGAGTGAAGTTTTATTGTTGATCAAGCATCACTTGGATAGTCAGTCTTTGGAATTCACTGTTTTCTTTTCAAATGTGTGTTTTCCTGGATTGTGTGGCACACTAAGGATGCAGAAGTTGAAGAGAGAAAGATAATACCTGGACCACAGGATTATCCTGAGCATGGAGGCCCCACTTTGATGCTGTTAACATGTATTATCTTGGGCAAATCACTTGGCTTTTTTCAAATCTCCACTGCTTCCTCCTGTGCAATGGGATGGTTGCACTGCAGGAGTTCCCCAGAGTAACCCCAGAAGGGAATGTGAGAAGCTTAGAATGATGGTTGTAACATTTTAGTCTGGGAGATCCAAAGTGGGCAAAAGGAATGCCAAAAATCAGGTACCATTTCTAACCTGTGTGGACTGAATCCATAGAGTTAAAGCTGATTTCCTGTGAAAATGAGGGAGGTTCACAGTTCACGAAAAAGCTGTCACCTTTTTTCCTTCATCCACTTAAAGGGTGTGTTGTCAGTCCTTTTCTTTGAAGGAAAATGGGAGAAGTGTTGTGTTGGTAACTTGTAGTCTGCGGTTTTACCGGAAACAAACAGGAAAACTTGGAAGATTGCAAACTCACAACAGCTTGTTTTATGCTTTCCAATCTTAAAACCAGGAAGAAGCACGAGTAGGTGCTTATCTAAAGTGAGCCATACATGAAAAATATGGGACACTATACAAGGGACAGGAAGGAAATTCAGAAGAGCAGTGTTCAGGCTGTCTGAGTGCCATTTTTCTTGACATTTTTCTGTAATAAAAGGAAAATAACCATATTTTTGATGGGATGATTATACCAGGAACTAAAATGTGTAGCTTCTACCTTAAGTAACTTACCCAAGGAGCAGGGACATTCTGTATGGAACGTGGGTTTCTTGCTGAAGAACAGCCCTTCAGAAGATGCACGGCCCAATTCTCCCTCTCCTCACAGTGAAATTCTGTTGAAGACCAAGAATGTGCAGCTGTTAAATTATCTGCTGGCAGGTTTTCTGCTTCTACCTCGTCTCAGGAGGGAGTGTTTTTAATAGAACTGCTGTGATTGACAGTAGACACGAGCAAACTGATGGACTGCCTGGCTCCTACACAGCCTTCAACAGTCACCTGCAGTGGAGACAACAGGCCCTGTCTTAGGCATCACTTGGAAGATTTATGGGTTGTTATTGGAAGCAGCTTTGTGAAATAATATGTAATATGACACAGTTAACAAGAAGAGTCCCAAAACACAGCCTGAAATTGGTAGAAAGAAGAAAATCTTCTGTGCTGCAGAAGGAAAATGAGTAATGAAGTGTGTAAAAAGGTAACTCTGAATAATGGAACTGGGTGTGTAGTGACTGTGGTCTGACTGCAACAGCAGATGAGTTCAAGTTTTTGATGGGTAATTTTGATAACATCAAGTTCTTCGCTTATTCCCTACAGAGCTTCTTGTCAGATGATCTCAAACCCAAATTCTTGATTTGATACAGAGCATGAAGAAATTGCCAGATTTTGAAGGCCACTTCTTAAAATTAAGTTCTGATGTTGAAAAGTAGCACAATACATTTCTGATCCTCTAGAAGGCTTTCTCAACAGGGGGAAAAAAAGGGAAGGTTCCTGGTGCTAACTCTTAACAGGAATTGCATTGGATGGGAAATAGAAACCTGTTAGAAATAATACTGTAAAAAGAAGAAGAATATTGCTTTGTGAATTTCAGCTTCAAGTTGTCAAGTTCTATAAATCAGAAGTGTCCCATATTAAACAGTTTCTAAACTCCGTCTCTAGGGTGTTCTAGGAGTGAAAAATTGAAATGTACACTTTTGATTAGGCCTTTTTGAGTGTTTCCTCTGCAGCAAACTCATCACATTTTCTACTTGGGCTGAGACCTGGGAGATGGAGAAAATAACTGGATGTGTCACATCAGATGGGAATTTTGACATGTGTTGGGAGTGTAACCCTGCAAAGTAGAGCTTGAAGCAGAAGAGAAGTACAGGAGAGATCCCTGTACTATTTCTGTCAGTTCAGTTGGGCCAAGAGTTTAGGTATTAATAATATTACTTTCTTTGATTCTTGAATAATGTGTCTTTGCAGCAAATTTAGTTTGCAGAGATGTTTGTAAGTGATGGAACCACACACATCTCCCCATATTGCTTTGAAGAGCAGGAACTAAGCAAATATAGCTTCCTGGGGGACAGTGAGATCCTGTGCAGTGAGGAGGCTATTTTATATAAATGTAGATGCCTGATACTGAAGGTGGTTTCATATGAGGAATATTCCTAATTCTGTTTGATCACAAGTTGTCTTTAAAATTAATATTCTGTTCCGCTCCTTGTTCCTCAGCTCCCCTTCCCAGTTATGCTCAAAATTGGTGTAACACTAATTTGCCTGTAGAAATATTGATAAAGCCTCACTGTACGTTTGGTTGGCAGTCAGATTCCCTCTATCCATGTGTCATGAAGTGTTCCAGCTGCCTGGATGTTCCTGGTTTTAGAATTAAAACTCATAGATGGCAAAATAGAAAAATATTCTTGTCTGCTGATCAAGTGTGTTTCATTTCTGCTGGAGAAAGTTTATTAATTCTGTTGATCATGTGGCGGGTTTTGCCCAAAAACTCTTCTTTCTGAGACCACCAGTTCTGAAAACGTGAAGGTGGGTAGCTTTTTGTTATGATGTGTCTAAAAAAAAGTCCTTTATTTTCATGGCAAATTGCCTTGGAACTGGAAATGTGAATCAATCCAAAACCAGTGTTTCCTTCACTGACAGAATATAAGTAATTTGCTGTGGTTGGATGATGAAATACGAGGTGATAATACTTTTTTTGTTGACAATACTTTCATCAGAGTAATCAACTCTGTTGATTTGTTTCAAGCAAACATGAACATCAGTTGTGGTAAGTGAAAATTTGCCATTCCGTGTCAGTGAAGTGTTTCTGCCTGTGACAAATACAGGTGAGTCTCTGATTGCATCTTGCCATCCAAAAATTGAGGAGACAGTAGTTTACTGATGCCATCAATATTAACTTGTCAGAACTGTGTTCTCGGTGCTTCACATTTCCATGGATAGTTCTATTTATATTTTTATCTGAATTTTTGCAGGTTGGGAGGTCCACAGAAAGCCCCATAGACTTTGTAGTAACAGATACTATTTCTGGAAGCCAAAATAATGATGAAACCCAGATCACCCAGAGCACCATATCCCGCTTTGCCTGCAGGATAGTTTGTGACAGGAGCCCACCTTACACAGCAAGGATCTTTGCAGCTGGCTTTGACTCGTCTAAAAACATATTTCTTGGTGTAAGTACTACTAATAATTGTTACGAGCAAGCTCTGGGTTTTATTCTCTGTTATTTTCAAGCCCCAAAATGTCCTTGTACTACTTGATAACTTACACTGTCATTAGGCTTTTATTACCCCAAAGTACCAGCTGCAGTGTTAAGGAGGCGCTGCAGTTTTATGTGCCTGAGTTATGAGCAGCAGAGACTCGTGGTCATAATTGTCTTTAACAGTGGAGCTCCACTTTAGTAACTGCTGGTGGGTTTTCTTTGGGTTGGTTTGATGTGTCTTGGTGGTCACTGTGACTGTCCCACGCAGGAAAAAGCGGCAAAGTGGAAAAATCCCGATGGCCACATGGATGGATTGACAACCAACGGGGTGCTGGTGATGCATCCCAAAGGAGGGTTCACGGAGGAGTCCAAGCCTGGAGTGTGGCGGGAGATCTCGGTCTGTGGGGATGTCTACACGCTCCGGGAAACCAGGTCTGCCCAGCAGAGGGGGAAACTGGTGAGTTGGAAGTGACTGGTGGTTAAAACAAAACAAGAGATGCTTGTTTTCCTGGTGCTGAGTGGAGGCAGTTGTGGGGTGACTGCAGAGTCATAGTGTTGTCCCTGGGTGGTGGGCACTGAAAGCATTTAAATATCTGTGTGTCACAACAGGTTCTGCACTGCACTTCTGTTTCTGATATACAGAACACCCTAAATTTTCTGCTGAAACCACTTTCCTGAGTGAGACAGCACAAAGCTAAATAAACTCTGCTCTTGAATCTCCATCTCTGCAATGTTCTCCTGGGATCTGGGGCTGTCTGGAAGTTACTGCACAAGGAGCTGTCTTTGTCCAAAGGGTCCACTTGCATGCAGAAGCAGTTTGGACAACACACCTTCTGTTTGATTTACCTGCCACTAGGAAGATAAGAGAAGCCCTGAAAGTATATTCCTGTTTTATCCTGTGAAGCAGGATGGGCTTTGCCTTTACCAGAAGTGAGAGATTTCATTTGCCAGACACCTGTGACATTCATAACGAGAAGTTCCATGAAAGCACATGTGCACTTTTCAATACAAGATGGGAGAGAATTCCCATAGCTTTTGTTCTTTCCTCTTCCCAAGACCTGTAGAGCCTACAAAGGAGAATGCATTTTATTTTTTCCTTTGGGGGCAGATGGAAAAGGGATAAGAAATGATAGCAATCAAACACCACCATACAGACTGGGGGAATGTCCTCCTCTTCTTCATGCCAAAGTTACTTTTGTGTTGCTACCTGAACTCGCATCAGCTCGATGGTGTTGGAGGGTTCCCACACACTCACACTGAACTGACTTTCCAACTCTGCCCTTGACTTTGCAGAAAACTGACTGCTTAGGGAGTTATGGAAATGGAGTTGGACTGTTCTGCTTTCAGCAGACACCCTGCAGGACATAAATTGCTTTGTCACTTTGAACAGTGGCAGGCAAATGTCGTCCGGGGACTGGGACAGATGATGTGGCAATTGCACCCTTTGTACGTGGGTAGCAAAACACCTTTTTAGTGCTGCTGAAGAAAGGCACAGCAAAACAAATGAATTCCCCTTCCCTGCATCCAAAATGACTCGAATTCTCATTTCAATAAAATTACATGGCACACTGGTATTGATGTGATCAGTATTCGTTGATTGGGTTCATAAAACCAAATGCAGGCTTGTGTAATGAATTGAACACGTTGCATATGAGGGAGCTTTTTGCTTTGCTGTTTGTGAAGGAATTATCTGAAAAGAGCATCAGATCCAGGCTTCTCTCATCTCTCCTTGAGCCACTGAATTTTTCTGCTGGAAGTATTTTGCACTGATGACCTCTTATCTGTGGTCTGCATTGTGCCCGTCGAGGTATTTTGTGCAAAGATGATCCATAGTTAAGCTGTGAATTTAAACTGGATTAAAATGTAAATGCCAAATTGATTGTCATTCATAGTATTCTGAGGCAGACATGATGATTTCATGTGACCTACTTAACGTGTTTGTTTGTATTTGGGTGTTTGTTTTGCATTAGTGGTATTTTCTACATACTTTGCGTGTATAAAACCAGGCAGTAGGTCTGTTTTCCTCTTTAATTTCATAAAGAACTTTTTAAATACATATTCATCATAACTGATAGGAAAAGCACAAATTGCTTATATGTTTGTGACATTAAAATCAGGAATGTTTCAGTGAAGTACAATGTGGTTTTCTCATAATCCCTTGAAAATGTTTCAGATAACTGCTTTTAATCAGACAAGAGAAGCCTTTAGGCAGTGCACACTGGGGCTGTATTTGCATGGAATACCTGAACTGTCCTGGATAGCAGTTTTCAGTCCAGAAAGGATTTTTTACTGAGTGAGCAGCCTCTGTCAGTCTCTGTGGGCAAAGAATTCCAGGAGAGAACCTGCTAATGCAGCCCTTAGGGAACGGCAAGTCTCCTCTTCAGTCTATCATGAGTTACTGAACTGTGACAAAGGCACACAGAGAATCAATATTAGAGAGGGAAAGTGCATGCTCAGGAGTGGGGGGGAGTATATCCTTTCCCAAGGAATTGCAGGCTAGAAGGCTCTTTATAATAATTAGTGTTGCTGTTGGAAATGCTGAACCTCCTGTACAAGCACAGAATAAGAAAGCAATGCTTATTAGGACAAGAGGGCACAGTCTTAAGCTGTGCCAGGGAAGGCTTAGGTTAGACATCAGTAAGAAATTTATTTATTACAGAGGGAGTGATCAGCCATTTGAACGGGCTGCCCAGGGAGGTGGTGGATTCACTGTCCCTGGAGGTGTTTAAGAAGAGACTGGATGTGGCATCAGTGCCATGGTCTGGGTGACAAGGTTGTGTTAGGCCGAAGGTTGGACTTGATGATCTCAGAGGTCTTTTCCAACCTAGCTGATTCTGTGGTTCTGTTCTTATAGTCTTAAATGCAGAATTGAGGTGGATTCAGACAGAGGAGGGGCTACAAGGCACCAATAAGACAAAACAAAGTGACATGTAGGGATGATGATGCTTTGGTGAGCAAGACGATACATTTGCAGAACTAACTTGACTGTCTGTAAAAGCTCTCAGGCTGAACTTCACCTCCCCTTGTGTCCCACCACCAGGTAGAAAATGAGACCAACATCCTCCAGGACGGCTCCCTGATCGACCTGTGCGGGGCCACCCTGCTGTGGAGAACGGCGGACGGACTGTTGCACACCCCGACGCAGAAGCACATCGAGGCCCTGCGGCAGGAGATCAACGCTGCCAGGCCACAGTGCCCCGTGGGCTTGAACACTCTGGCCTTTCCCAGCATCAACAGGAAGGATGTGGTGGAGGAGAAGCAGCCCTGGGCCTACCTCAGCTGTGGCCACGTGCACGGCTACCACAACTGGGGGCACCGCAGCGACACGGAGGCCAACGAGCGCGAGTGCCCCATGTGCAGAACCGTGGGCCCCTACGTACCGCTCTGGCTGGGCTGCGAGGCCGGTTTCTACGTGGATGCGGGGCCCCCCACCCACGCCTTCACCCCCTGCGGACACGTGTGCTCGGAGAAGTCTGCCAAGTACTGGTCCCAGATCCCGCTGCCCCACGGGACTCACGCGTTCCACGCCGCCTGCCCCTTCTGCGCCACGCAGCTCTCCGGGGAGCACAACTGCGTCAAGCTCATCTTCCAGGGCCCCATCGACTGATGCCGCTCGGCGGCGACCACAATAAAAAGTTTCCTTTAATGATTTACTGTGAAGATTTTTGCCACTAACTTCTAGATTTTACCCTTTTTTTATAATGTTATTAATAGGGGGTGGGGGGTCGGGGTGGGGCTGGAGGGGCCGGGGTGGAGTTGGGATACATTGATACCTGGAACTCGACAGATATCAGTGGTTGTTGCATGCTCAAAAGCAGCATATTCATGAAGTCTTCTTGGTCAAATTGTAGTATATTTGTAATCTTTTTATTAGTACCCTGGATCAGAAAAAGGTGTCTTAAATGATTTTTTTAAGCTAAGATTTTTTAATGGAAAGGTTTTCTCTTCTAAACTTTGACAAGCCTTTAAAACCTATTTTTCAAATCTAGAAGGAACATACGGAATGTAACTTGTCTTTAATTTGCAATATAATTTAACTTGAATAGTTTCTCAAGGAGCTAATACAGAATGTGTGGACAACCAGAGGTGAATGTTCACTAGAGATAATTGGGTATGTAAGAGAAAAATTAGCTGCCTAAAGTGTAGAGGATAAAAGCTATTAAAATATCTATTATGGTATAACACAGCTGGCCAAAAAGGCATCAAAGATTACTTGAAACTGAGGAAATCCTGTTTGTATTGATTTCCTTTCAGTGTAATAGATATCCACTGGCCATTAGGTGTGGGAGATGGCTGATTTTTTTCTGTTTTTTTTTTTTTTTTCTGCATCTGGTATTACCACTTTACTCTTTTGAATACTTAAGTTTTAAGCCAGTGTTTTCTGTGTCTGTGTAGTCTGGCTTTTTTATTTCTGCTTAACTTAGCTTGGCACGTCCAGGACCCTTGGGTGTGTGGAGGTCATGGAATCACAGAATGGTTTGAGTTGGAAGGAACCTTAAAATCATCCACTTCCACCCCCTGCTGTGGGCAGGGACACCTTCCACTACACCAGGTTGCTCCAAACCTCATCCAACTGGGAACAATTCCAGGGATGGGGCAGCCACAGCTTCTCTGACGTATCCAGGGATGCAGCCAGGCTTTACTGCAGGGATGGAGGGGGTGGTGCCACAGCACAACACGAGGTTTAGGTACAGCTTACACAGAACCGATTTGCATAAACCTGAATTCAGGAGAGCACTTAGTCAGAGTTTAAATATAAACCCACGGCTGGGAGTGTTTAGTTTCTCGAGTGCTTCAGTGCATTGTGGCTGCGTGTTGTTACGTTTAAAATAAAAAAAAAAAACAACAACAATTTAAAATAAGTTATTTTTTAAGCTCACTGTAAAGCATTTTGGCTGGAAAGGGAGCATCATTTCCAGTTCAGCTGAGAATTTTTGTTCACTTTTCAACTTGCTGCCATCTGTCACCTTTTTTTTTTCTTTTTTGTTTTGCAGATTGAGTTGTGTTTGTATCTTTTTTTTTTTTTCCCCCAAATGTTTGCAAATCAAACAACATTCAAATGCAATCAAATATATGCACCAGGGTGGTACATCTGAAGTGGATCACTTGAAATTCCTGACTTTTTAAGAGAGCTGATAAATGTTTACTATGGAAATAATTAAATCAGAATTTCATATGAGATGTACCCTGCCCACTGTTAGGTTCATTTCATGCAGCATAACAATTCTTTGATTTTTGGCTGGGTTTTTTTTCCCCTTATGCTTTCTGTGTTCTTGGTATCTGAGGTATCAATCTATCCAGGTTAAATTAAAAAAAAGAGAATTTGGGAGAAATTTATAACATCTCTAGATGAAAATGGATCATTCAAGCTCACTTCTGTTTAATCAGCTATAGCTTTTTGCTATATTTGTGCCCTTTGTATAAATATATAATTTATATGATTTTAATATATTCTGTATATATATACTTGAATTGGCCTGTTCATATTTTGGTTGTAAAATTGTTTTATAGTTAACCTTATAAACATTTTACATGTCCCTTGCCAGTGGTGACGGGATGGACTTTGTCTGCTGCTGTTTTTAATATAATTTTACTGTATACCTGTTCAGCATTTTAGTCATTTGAAAAGAGCTTTACTTTTCTTTTTACGCTTTTGCTGTTTAAAAAAAACCCAACAACACCACAACAAATCTGCAGCATTTTTTTCCTAGAAATCGCAAACTGTACAGCTTTTTTTGTCCCACTCAGTCATTGGAAATAGGATGAATCTTGTTAACCTAAAACTATATGCTTCTTCCTAGTGCCTTTTCAATGAGATCCTCTTGTGATTCCGTGTATTCCGAGTATTTGCTCCCACAGGACAACCTTGTGGCTGAACTTCACCAGGAGCAGCCGCTCATCCACATTGGGAAGAAACGCCTTTGGCCTCCAACTCCTGGTGGTGGCTCTGTCCCAGACGTGAAGGTGCCTCTTCCTTGTTCTCTCCAGCCCACGTTCCTCAGGTCTCACATTATCCCTGTTTAGCAGATACCTCATCTGGGAGAGGCAGCCTCACCTCCACCTCCTCCTGCTGGACTCGGGAATGCTTCACCTTGTTCCTCACAAGAGACACTTCGGAAACGCACTTTCAGCAATGGTTCCTGGGTGGATTAAGGCTGGGAACTGTGTGCTCCAGAGGTCTGGAGCTCCAACACTTCCCGGGTCTGCCTGGCATCCTGAGCTGAGCAGGATGTGCTCGTGTTTTGTCTCCATCTGAGCCTGAATGGATTGTAAACACTCTGGCTCCCAGGATCCCACCTCTGCTATCCAGCTGCTTTCCTCCTTTCCTTTGCTGTTGCAGTTTAACTGCTGCTTCAGGGCTCCATGGAGCTGTGCCCTGTGGGAAGTGAATGTACAGTGTTGGAGGGATCCTCCCTGGAAGCACTGGCACACCATCAATGTGTTTGGCTTGTGTGGAGCAGAGCACTGGATAATGGTTTGTATCCACGGGAAGGGTCTCTTTGGAACTGTTAAAACAGGAGTTTTTGCTTTCACTGTTGGCAGTTCTATAACACTGGGAATGCTGCAGGAAGGAAATCTTTCAGAATTCCAGAGTGCTTCAGGTTGGAAGGAACCACAGTGGGTCATCTGGTCCTGCCTGTCTGCTCAAGCAGGGCTGTCCTAGAGCACATGGCACAGGATTGTGTCCAGATGGTTCTGGAATATCTCCAGTGGGGGAGACTCCAAGCCCTCTCTGGGCAATCTGTTCCAGTGCTCGGGAAATAAGTTCTTCCTCATGTTCAGGTGGAACTCCCTATGCATCAGGTTCTACCTGTTCCCTCTTGTCCCACTGCTCTGCACCCCCAAGCAGAGCCTGGTCCATCCTCTTGGCACCCCCCAGTTAGATACTTATACACGTGGATGAGGTCTCCTCTCAGTGTCTCGAGGCTGAACAAGCCCAGCTCCCTCAGCCTTTCCTTGGAAGGGAGGCTCCAGTCCCTTAATCCTCTTTGTTCCCTGCACTGGACCCGCTCTGGGAGCTCCATGTCACTCTGGTTCTGAGGAGCCCAGAACTGGACACATCACTCTGGATGTGGCCTGATCAGGGCTGAGTAGAGGGGCAGGATTCTTGTCTGGGGAGCAATTTTCCATGGCTTATGTAGAATCCAGGGACTTCACCATTAGCCAGTGTTCAAATCCAGGCTGAGCCCTGCAGAGCTGGATTTACTGGGGAGGCTGAAGAGTTTGTAGCATTATTTATCTCAAAACCTGCTGCCACAAGTCCTGATCCAGGGAAATGATGGACTGTTGGCCCTCACCTTCCCTCCTCTCCATAAACACCACCTTCCTCTGCTCTGGTAATGACAGGAAAAAGGAGCTGTGGATAAATAAGACTGGAGCGAGTAAACTTGAGAACCACCCTCAAACTTTGTTTTAGAAGTTTATTTCATGATTTCAGTGTTCCTTGCATCCCATTTCCAATGCTGGCAATGTATTCCATAAAGATCTTTTTTTTTTCACCTGTTACTGTTGAGTTGATTTGATTTGAACGCTTCAAAACCAGCTTTGACTGCATAACTTAGAGCTCAAAAGTATTTTTCTGGTCTGATCTTTTTTTCTAAAGAAATACATCTGTCATATCCATGCACACTGGAGCTGGAACACTTTCCTTTTTCCTGGCAGCTTTATGGTAAAGTACTGAAGTCTAAATAGACAAACTGAGTGGTGAGCCTGGTTCGTACTGGGAATTGTGGTCCAGTTGAACAGAAATGTTTCTAGAGGTCATGGTACTGTACAAGCCGAGTAATTAAGGCAGGATTTTATTTCTTTCCATTGTGAGGGTGGGAATGGGGATGGGAAGAAATGAAAACCATGGTTGGGCTGCTTCCAGTAAGGACAGACCCACCTTGAAGCAAAGGCGTGCCAGGAGCCAGTCAGAAATGTGGTGGGAGCTGTTCCTGCTCTCAGACCCCATCCATGCCCTGAAAAGGTTTCTCCTCAGTTTGTTAGGAAGCTCTGGGATGCCATGGAAAGGCTGTGATCTTACCAACAAAACACTTTGGTGTTCTAATGGCAGTTCCTGGAATTCGAGGGTTTGGCTTCAGAGCCTGAGCAAGGAATGGAGGTGCTGAGTGTATCAGTGAGAAACTGCAATAGAATTGAACAGAAATTAGATTTTTAAGTGCTCACAGCACTCAAAGGAGATTTGGGGTCAGCTGTGGTAACTCTCTCTTTAGTGCTGTCACAGCAGCTGATCTTCTCACCCTTCTTTCATTCTTCTGGAAGTGGAAGGAAACTTCTCCAAAACCATCATGATTCTGTTCATCCATCTCACAGTCTTGGCACTTCCCTGGCATTGGAGAACCATTGGCAGGGATCTGACCGTGGTGAGGAAAACTGACCTGGCTGGACTCCTCCTCCTGCTTAAAGCTGAGCTGCAAATGCACCTCTGGAATGAGCTGGGCTTGTGTGTTCCTACAGGAACTCCCTGTTTTCCCTGTGACTGTTGTTAACATGCCATGTTGGATGCAAAGTGAATCCATAGGTAGAGCTGTTGATGGAGGAGGTGGGAACAGAAGCCTGTCAGGTGCTTGAGCCCAATGCCAAGGATTCCTCCTCCTTTTTTCCTCAGTTTTCAGCCTCTTGTGGGTTCTTGGCTCCTCATTTCCTA